GCTACAACACCTCAAATCTTGGCTACTCAGTTCATAATTCTCTCACTTCTATCTTCATTTGCCCTAATTCTTGTCCACGGAGAAGATCAAGATTTTGTTAGAGCCTTGGACCGCAAGCTTCTGGGTCTCAAGAAAGAGAAGTTCAGCCACTTTAAGATGTACTGGCATGATATTTACAGCGGTAAAAATCCAAGTGCAGTAGGAGTGGTGAATCCACCCATCAATTCATCAACCCTATTTGGTTCTGTTAGCATGATTGATGATCCTCTTACTGAAGGCCCTGAGTCGAGCTCAAAATTGCTGGGAAAGGCTCAAGGGTTCTATGCATCTGCCTCACAGAAAGAAGTTGGCCTGCTGATGGCCATGAATTTTCACTTTAACCAAGGGAAGTACAATGGCAGCACCATAACGATTCTAGGAAGGAACCAGGTGTTCGACAAGGTTAGGGAGATGCCTGTCATTGGAGGCAGTGGGCTTTTCAGGTTTGCAAGAGGTTATGTTCAAGCAAGTACTCATACATTCAATCCAACCACAGGAGATGCCGTTGTTGAGTATAATATCTATGTGCTGCATTATTGATGAAGGTTTTTTTTTTCTTGCTGGCTTTTGCTTTGTTCCTTTTTTTCTTTGGAGGTTGTAGATTCTAATTATGTTGGCCACCCACCATGTCATTTCTTTTCATTTTAGTGGGCGTGGTTGAGTTTACTTTATCAATTATTGGCCGGCTATATGCATTTGGTTGGTGTCAATAACTCCACAGAGAACGGATAAATGAAAATAAAATAAATTATGGTTCATTGGAAGGGAATTGGAACAACTACATAAAGAAGTTGGCTTATTTTTTGCTATGCCTTATGGAATTCTATTTTGATCTCATTTTGTTCTCTGTAACTCTAAAGTCATCACTTTATTAATTGAAACTCAAATTTTATTTCATTTGACTTATGAATTCTCTTTTTTCTCTTAAACTTATAAGATGCCTCCTAAACTATATGTGGGATCAACACTTAATAAGATTATGTCACATGTACAATAACTTTGATTATAAATCTCTATTACACGTTAACATTCAACAATCAGATAATATTAAGTTTCAAAGAAATTGAAGCGATGAAAAAATAAAAAAGAAATTGATTAGCCTGGAGCACCCTAATCAAACTCCCATAAGAAATTAACAGATCTAAGGTAATGTAGAGAGAATTTTGAGTTTTATAGAGACGACTTTTATGTTTCAGAGAGCAAAATGAGATTGAAATCGAGTTTAATGGACAAAGTGAAGCAAACTTTAAATTTCAGGTAGTAAAGTGATGACTTTTGAGTTACAGAGAGCAAAGGGAGATTAAAACCGAGTTTCAATGGGCGTAGCCAAAAATAAGCTTAAGAAGTTGACGTTCCACGATAACATTAACATTAATTGACAATATGGAAAGTAAATGAAATTACTTACAAGCCCAAATAAGGTCTCTCCTCTCAATGTGGCATACTTACTCATGTGTGGAGAACAGGGTGACGTGAAGCACGTGTGGCTGTTGGTCTTTACATATTGGACAAGCTGCTCTGATACCATGAAGAAGTTGAGGTTCCACCATAAAATCAATTGGCAATATGGAGAATAAACTAAATGGCAATATGGAGAGTATATCAACTTACTTGTAAGCCCATGCAAAATCACTCATCTCATTAATAGTAAGATTCAGGTAATGCTAGGGATATCAAAAATTTTAAACCAAATGATATAGTTGTAGATGATTAAATTATTAATTAAATATCGATTAACGTGATTATTTATTATCGGTGACACATCATTTGATTTAAAAAAATTGATCTTCCTAACATTATTCATCCTCAACAATATCTGGTATTCTTTCTCTAGCTCTCTCTCATTGGATGGTTAAAAATGTGAAGAGAGAGAAATTAATAAAGAGGGGCATACAACATATTGTATGGTGAAAATGCCACGAGAGATAAATTAACACAAAAATAACCAAATTGTCAACTTTTCCACAAAATTTTATTTAATTCTTAAGACTCCTCTCACATCATCAGAATAAAAAGAAATGGGTTAGGTGAGGTCAACCCACCAACCCCAAATTATTCTCTCCACTCGTACACCGACCTCCTCCTAGAATATTAATCCCAACATTACAGATGCAGGTGGCGGTACATCCATATTATGGGGTGACTTAACCCACGACATGCCAACTTGTTGAGCTATACAATGAAATTATATTATAGCCTTGCAACAAAACTTGGTTAATTGTTAATTGGATCTGGGAAATATTTCTTGTTCTGTATGGGTGCGTTTGGTACGTGGGATGGAACGGAACAGAGTGGGACGGAACCGTTCCGTCCCACGTTTGGTATGCTAAAATTACGTGGAACGCGCGTCCCACGGAACGAAAATATGTTAGATTTTGGTTCTCCCTCCCCCCCGGAACGTGTTTTTCCATCCTATGGAACACAAAAATGATAATTTTTTAGACAAAAATACCCCTTAGCTTTTTTAATATTTACACCTTTTAAATTATACAACAAACCCTAATCCTTCATTCCTCTTTTCTCTGCCGCTGAGTTCCTCTCTTCTCTGCGCTGAAGTTCATCCTGCATCTCCCCATCGCAAACTTCCTCATCCTAATCCTTCATTCCTCTTTTCTCTGCCGCTGAGTTCCTCTCTTCTCTGCGCTGAAGTTCTTCATCCTGCATCTCCCCATCGTAAACTTCCAACTCATCCTCTTCCGTGTGCCTCTTCGTGAACTTCTCAGCTCTGCATCTCCGTTCCAGGTTCGATCTGCATTAAGAGGTAGATTGATTAGGGATTTGGATTTGGGATTTTCTGAATATTTTCTGAATATTTTGTGCAATATGTTGATAGACTTGCTTAATTGTTTTGATCTCTGTGTTCCTTCTGCTTAATTGTCTTGGTTTGCGTGGTTTATGAGGTCGGTTTGGCTTCGAATTGTTTCCCTGTTCTTATTTTGTTCTAGATTTAATATGTGAATGTTTCTGGGAGTTGTTATCTGCTTTGAGCATTTAGTATAGAATTTGTATCCCTTGCATAGATTTCTGTTTTTTGTGTGTTGCAGATGGACTAATGTAACTCTTTAATATAGTTATTGTTGTTTTGATAGTTAGACCAATTGTACCAACAATCTAAATATTTTGTCTGTATTTGAATTCAGCTGTGTGTTTCAGCTGTATCTGAATCTAATTCATGTCTCTAGTATTAATGGATTCTTTTTTTTTCAGTGTTCAAGTTTCAATTTTTTTGTGCTGAAATGTACAAATCTGATGTCTTTGGATTTTGTTGGATTGGATTATGTTTTGGATTTTCCTCTGTTGGATTGGGTTCAGTTGGATTAAATATAAACTAGAACCTTTGATGAATTTATCGGGGTTAATGTCAACACCAATAATTTTAGATGCTCCTCTGGCTCTTGCTCCTTCTCAGCGACCTAATCCAGATTGCAAGCCGCATCTAGTTGAGTAATTTGGGGATTAAGAAACCCCAGTTGAACATGAAGGGTTTTGGGTATTTTAGTCATTTTAATCTTTTGGTACCGTTCCGTCCATGCAGTACCAAACGCAGGACGGAACAACCATCATGTTCCGTCCTGCACGTACCAAACATAACATAGAACATCTGTTCCGTCCCGTTCCGTCCCGTCCCGTTCCGTTCCGTCTGCGTACCAAACGCACCCTATAAGATCATATTGTAATTAAACTACTTTAATTTATCGAACAGAAATTAAATTTGTGTGCAAAAAGTAGATACATTGCTATTTTAACTAGCTTGAGGTCATCTCCAACCGAAGGGTCTAGAGGGTCAGAGTGTCGAAAATAGCCTGAAAACCGTTTCCAACCGAGGGCTAGGCCAGAGGGCCCCACAGAATCGGAAAGGGCTGGAGGGCTGGCCACTTCCAGCCAGCCAACCAGCCCCGAGCTGGCCATTTTTTTTAGTGTCGGATTTCCTGTCTGTTATAACCGATAGGAATAATGTATATTATGTTAATAGTGTCGGTTATAACCGACACCAATAGCAATGTGAATATAATAGCAATAGCAATTTGAATAGTATCGGTTATAACCGACACTAATTGTAATTTGAATTCCAATTGTGTCAGTTATAACCGACACTAATTGTATGAAAAATTTGAATCCAACGGCTAGCCAGTCACTAGCCGTTGTATTCAAATTTTTTTTTTTTATGAATTTAAACCTTATTTTTTTTCTTTTTTTTTTGTATAACTTCTATTTTACAAAATTTGTTTCAAATTTTTTTAATTTCTATTTTTTTTCCTATAACTTATATTTTACAAAATTTGGTTCATATTTTTTTCATATAACTTCTATTTTACAAATTTTGTTTCATATTTTTTTTTTAAATTCCATTTTTTTCCTATAACTTCTATTTCACAAAATTTGTTTCATATATTTTTTTATTCTATTTTTTTTCCTATAATTTCGTAAGCCATTATACAACATTAAATTAAATTAAGTAACATGAAACAACTTAAACAATATGAACAACATTAGATAACATTAACCAACATAAAAATTATACAACAAAAAAAAACATTTAACAACATGAAACTTAAACAACATTTAAGTTGTAGTTTTCAAATAATAAATTATGTTTGGCCATCTGGTCATCGGTTGGAGATGGAGGCAAATATGACATTGTACTGTTCATTAAAATATTAATATCTTGGAGGATCTTGAAGAGCCAGAGAGCTAAAACGAGTCATCTGACTAGCCATCGGTTGGAGATGGCCTAACACACCTGAGTATTATTATTCTTTTGTCAAGTGTTCATTGCTAAATACTAATTACACTAAATATTGATTATGAACCAAATTAGCAAATGACTCCACGATTTATATCACAACTAATTCCTTTTTATGATTCCATTCCAGTCAATAAAGGCAAGTCGTATCATTTGAAAAAGACTTTTGCCGAACGCGGTATCATTGTCCTTCACTGTATATAAACCCTACAAAACAATCTAAAGCCTTGAAGACATACCACCGAAACCATGGCTAGGCTGTCAGCTTTCCAATTCACAATTTTCTCCCTCCTCTCTTCCTTTGCCTTGATCTTAGTTTCTGGAGAAAATTTAGGGTTTCACAGCACCGTGGACCGTAAGCTTCTCGGGCTGCAGAAAGAAAAGCTCACCCACGTTCGCTTATACTGGCATGACATTGTTGGTGGGTCCCATCCCTCTGCCTTAGAGGTTGTCCCAGCACCCTCCAATAAGTCCCAGACGAATTTTGGGTTAGTGAGAATGTTTGATAATGCACTAACTGAAGGTCCTGAGTTGAGCTCAAAATTGGTGGCTAGGGCTCAAGGGTTTTACGGATTTGCAGGGCAGGTGGAGCTCAGCCTGCTGATGGCACAGAACTTTGCTTTTGTTGCAGGTGAGTTTAATGGAAGCACCATAACTTTGCTAGGAAGAAATTCAATTTTAAACAAGGTGAGGGAGCTGCCTGTGATTGGTGGAAGTGGGGCTTTCAGGTTTGCTAGGGGTTATGCTGAATTGAGAACTCACACTTTTAATCTCACCTCAAGTGATGCTATTGTGGAGTATAATATTTACGTGTTGCATTATTGATCATGGGTTTTGGAATTTGATTTGGCCATTGCTTGGTTGTAATTGAATTGTGACAAGTTTATATAAGTATTTCAATAAAATAATTAAATTTTCTTTGACCAACCTAAACATTGTTTCCATGTTCTAATGGAATGCTTTTCGATCATGACTGACTTGGATATCTCTTATTGATATGTTAGTTTCATAGACGGCAGTATTGAATAAAAAGAATTTATTTTGTATGTGGTGGAAGAAGGCACTTGAACAAAGCGTTTTCCTTTTGAGAAGAGCCACTATGTCCCCTTTGTATATAGCATATGCCATTTTCTCTCTGGCAGACACCAAAGTTTTGAAGGAAAACCTGACCTATAGCGAATAACAAATAATTTCAAACTCACTTTAAATATATATATATACACACACACACACAAACTCACTTTAAATATATATATATATATAGACTCACATGTCACATACAATTTCGGCCAATATTATAGAGTGAACTTGTTGAACGCACACATGCCAATTAACTAATGAGTTAACTACATCCTTCTGGTGAGTGTGAGTATGCCAAACTTGAAGTAGTGTTGTTAATCCAAACTGAAAAACTTCTCGATCGCCTAATTCTACGGCTCCAATGTTGTTGGTTTTGAACACAATGATGTTACTCCAAACTGAAGATGTGGTGACGGAGTTAGGGCAATTAGTAATTTCTCAGAGTGAGAAGAATTCGCATAGAGTGAGGTCTTGCACAGAGGGTTTGTGTGTTGAGTTGAAAGTCATCTCTACGTTGCAAATACCTTATATTCATAGAGACAAATTCCTTGATGCCGAAGTCTACTGAATGGTACAATCCTGATTATATTCTGATTCTTAGGCATATTCTTTGAATAAACTTGGAATTATTCTCGACCAAAAATCTATCACCGCCTCGCCTTCTCCAGCTCAAACTAGGATTTTGGACCTAATCTTATTATTCAATTAATTCAAACTCCATCCAAAAGCCAATCATGACCCTCAAGCACTTTCAATATAATTGTCAATTACCCATCAGATAATACTATGATTATCAAAAGCATAATAACATCTAATAAGTTACCTAAAATCATCTTGACCTTTTAATTTGACGGCTCCAAACTTATAGGCCAAGTACAAAATCACGTACAAACAGAACTTCTACGAAAACCATCATAAAGCTTATTTCCATTCACGTTCCGCCACACCATAATTTTCTTAACAAACATGCAGGGAATCTTGAAGAATTTTTGTTTGTAGTATTTCTCTTTCATTTTTTCTAATTTATAGATTAAAAAAATTTTGAAAACAATATTTCGGAAACTTAATAAATGCTGAGAACACTTCTAAAAGGCTTGCAACATTTTCCATAAAGCTCCTGAAAATGTCTCTTGATAAAACTCAATGATGATACTTTTCACAAAAAATGTGAGCAAACGTTCACCAATATTTTAGGACATATTTGGTACTCTACTTGAATCTAATTTTTTTAATTTAAAAACAATTTTCAAGTTGTAGGCCTTAAAAACTTGTTTAGTATGATTATTTTCAAAAACTGAACTTAAGAATAAATAAAAAATATAATCTATTTTCTAAAACATAAAACTGAGTTTTTTTAGTTTTTAAACTTAAACTCACTCATTTATTTTCTCTCCCTCCTCCTCCTCCCCTCTCACTTCAAATCTATCTTTCTCTCTTTTCTTCTTTCTCTTTCCTCTTTTTTTTTTTTATTTTTTTTATTTTTTTTATTTTTTTATACCTTTTTCGTCTCTCATTCAATCTGCTTTCTTCGTTCTCTTTGTTTTTTCTCATTCATCTTCCTCTTTATCTCGTCTGATCATCTCCCTTCTTTCTTTTTCTTTCAATCATCTCTTACTTTCTTTCATCCTCTCTCCTTCAACTCTCTCTGTTTAGATCTCTTTGTCTAGTTTAAGTCGCAAGATTTAAAATTTTTAAATCGCAAATCAATCAAGTTTTTGAGTTTTAAAGAAAATTGTTTTCAATAAATATTCTTAAGAAATGTTTTGAGAAATGATAAAAAATTTCAAATAAGATATCAGCCAGACTCTTAACGTTTTTGCGAATTTTTACAAAAACATCATGAAATATATTTTCACCAACTTCCACTACGCAAATTATTTTATAAATGGTATTATATTTCAAGATAATTATGTAATTGCCACTTAATCCTACCAATTTTGCCCGCCACTTTTCCGATTGCCAATCAACTTTTATGAAAACCGGTCATCTTTTCGAGGACCTTTTTCATCAGTTAGGCGAATGGCCGGAGAACTTTTTCGGCGATATAAAAAAATGATTTCAAAATGTTTTCAATGGGATCACGATCCCACAGTGACTTTTAAATCATGTAAAATGTCAAAAAAAATTCTCTAATTTTTTTTACATATATATACATGTGAAAAAACAACTACTTGTACCACTACCTTAACGTTAAGCCACCATTTGTGATATGTATCACTTTCATTAATATGTAAACCACCTAAACACATGACGTAATTTATTTGTTGAATATAGTCTTACTCTCAGGTCAATATTCAACAGTAACTTTCAAAAAATCATGTGTACTAAAAAAATCTCTTTTTAATTGTATATAATGTGAACAATAGTAATGTTGAAACCAATTTTTCCCATAAATACCCATAATGGGTGAACTTAAAATCATGTAGGACATTTTGATGATTTTTAGGTGCTTCAAAGTGTGTCTAAATTCTACTAGTGTTTTCAGAAATGAGTATGAAGAGTGGACCAACATAAAATGGAAATTTGGTGTAAAGATCATTGGATGGGTCCATCACATATGTGCTGACGCTTAATAGGACACCACATATACTTTGATTTTTTTAACCAGAAAACCTTGATTTTAGTCATCATGATCCTGCCAAGTGCCAAGTGATTTCAAATGAAAAATGATCTTCTCCGTATCTTTTTTTCTAATCCATCAAATTCGAAGATTCGAACCGTTGAAATTTAATTCAAAGGTTAAAGTTATTATAACTTTTAAAATGGGTTTCTGTTTGTAACCATTGGATTAATTTTTAACGGTTCAGATCTCCAAACTTAATAGATTAAGAGGAAGAGAACCAGAGATGATCAATTTCCATTTCAAAATGCTTGATAGTAGTAGGCCCCCTTCCAAATTTTTAACCACAAACCAGATTGAGTATATATTTAGATAAACCCAGTTAGTTATGAACGGGACTCCGAACGATTTTCAGCGGCTTGTGCATGTGTGGTTTCTAAGCCTTGGAGAAGTCTTGACCATTTTCAACCGCCACACAACAGTTCATGCATGTGAGGCATATTTTCCTACAACTTAAGGTTTTAAAAAAATTGTGATTACTCACCGTTCAATTTTAATTTAACAAACTGAAAATCAGAAAAGAAAAAAAAAGTATGTCAAAATGTTTGTAAATATTAATAAATTTGATTGTTATATGTATAAATGAGATTATATTTTGTACGACGTAAATAACCATTTAACTAATAATACATAACTGGTCGATCGCGTGCTAAAGGTTACCTTGCTTCTAAAGTTTCTGTATACATATTCATATACATGTGTTGATGATTTTATATATGTTCCGATTCAAATTGAAGAAAGCATTCAGTTGCACATAAAGAAGAGTGATGTACAAAAACCAAGAACATACATCTTCTCCCTTTCATTAGTTTCCTTTAATTAGCAGCTTAAAATATACATAAAGCATGCAAAGGTGACTTGGACCACCATTCTGGCACAACTTTCGTTCCCCTTCCAACTTTGCAGTCACTGAAACAAAACCCCCCATTTTTTTTTTCAAATATTGTTCTTCTCATCTTCCCACGTTGCTGTCCATGTCGGTCGTACGTGGTATTTTCTCATTGGCTGGCACCACAATTAACGAATCTCAACCGTGGATTGCTCCCACCGTCACTTGGAATTATCCCGATGGATCTTGCAAGAAAAAGAAGAATCCCGATAATACAAGTAAAGAAAGCTACATAAACCCAAAAAAGATAAAGTTACTCGAACCACTTAGAAAAAAGAAAAATAAAGGACAGAACACAGTTTGTTTACACGAGTAAGTAATAAAATTGCAAATAAGAAATATGAGAATAATATATACATATATATAATATATAATTTCATAATTCCCTATATAAACCATGTTCGTTCTACACAGAAAGCAGTCGCACAAAAAACCTTCACTGAAACCCCATATTCAAATTTCAAAACCCTAACATGGCTAGGGACTACAACTATTATTCTTACTGGGACTACTTCTCCATCCCTCTCCACCTTTGTTTCTTCATTTCCATCCTCGTCTTCATCTTGGGGTTCACATGGTACATAAACTACGAGTCCATGTTTGAGGACTTGATGACACAAGTCAAACTCTTCCTCATGATTGTTCCAATCATTCTTCTACTCGTCGTCCACTGCTTATCGGGTGGGTTGTCGTTCTTCTTGCCGCTGCCGGAGCAGGATTCACTTCATAGAGCCGGAGGGTCTCCATGGGGCGTTGGACTCGTGCTTGTGTTCCTTTTGATCATGATCTCTTACCAGTCTTCTTTCCAGGAACGTTGGTTTCCCTTACTGAGTAGATGATGATGTGGTTTTGTTAGGTATATATATACAAATGGATGTTCATGTAATATGAATTTGTAATAGTACTAAAGCTTTGGCTTTGGTTTGTTGATCGTTTTGGCATACACCAAACTGCCTATACCTAAATAGTACCTACTGGTTTGATATCTGTATGCAACTTAGTGTTGTGATATTCCTTTATCTTTTTGTCAGGCCCGTTATCACGACTTCATTATTTATATATGAATTCTGACCATTAATCATTGAGTACGCATCACATAAAAATTGTTTGTTATCCTATAAATACAATTTTATCAAGTATTATATTGTTTAATTCTCCTATTTAGTTTGGCCATAATTTTTCTTTTGATGATGGCATTATATATCATCTCAATGGTTTCTTTAATGTGGTGGTGCTAGTGGGATGCAAAAATGATATCTTATAACATTTTGTACATCATATATGTATCATATCTCTAATAGATGCAACTTAATTATATTAACAGGGGTTATGTCTCTATTAGAG